GCTTTGTTGTTTGTTTGGTTGGTCTGTGTTCTGCTTCGCGTGTTGTGCAACATTGATCAGTAATGGCTTCACATTCCGTAATATTGTGGGTACGCTTGTGCACTAATAGACATCTCTTCTTCCCTCCTGCGTCGTGGACAGATCGCCGCGAATTCGGACTGGTCGGTAAGTCACCTTGCGTCTACGTGCCGTTACGCTGCTGAGGACTGCCTCAGGTCGATGGGTCATGCACATTATGCGATTATCGTTTGTGAATGCAGACAGGGCTACACTGGCAGCTGCTGCCGACGCTCACGCCCTCGGCGGTCGAGCTCCAAGTTTCACCACACGGGGCTAGGCGTATAACTGGCACAGCTACAACATGGTAGTCCCCAGCACTAGCCGAGGAGGCCGACGATCTGGAGACTTTCCTTCGAGCTTCTGCCATGACGCTAGGTAGCAGCAGCGCCTCTCGCTGTACCTGCCGCGTCCCTCGGAAGCGCCAGGCTGGGATGTTCGTCCTCCCCTCCCCGCCCTACACAAGGTGCGTACCGGACAGAAGCTTCTCCCATATGCGGATGTGGCGTGGCTGCATTGCCACGGATGGTTTTCAGGCAGCCACGTGCCTGAAAACAAACTTTGCAGAGGGCGCGATTCCTTGCCCAGTGATGACGTCGACTACCTGCTCTCTGCCTCGTGCGATGCGGTTGGTGGTGACGTCCTGCATTAGATACGTTTCTTCGCTCGGGCGGCCGCTCGTTTGGTCAAGGCCTGACGAATCTTTATCCCAATGCAGACACTGTTTAAATCTCAGCGGGCTTGATGACCTCTGCTTTTCGCCAGTCGCTGAAACGCCCACGCTCAAATCGGAGCCGTGTGCGCAAGAGCGACCGGGAGTGCCGTCTGAGCGAGTCGGTGCTACCGTATGGTGCCGCCAGCGCTGTCATACATGTCGCGCATGAACTGCTGAACGCTGCTCCTCGAAGCAGACTGCGCGTTAGCGTGACGCTGTGAATGGTGCGGCGATCCGTCAGGCGTCCGATTCTTTCCCTAGTGTGACCTCGCAGGCTTGTTTTGCTCTGATGAACATCCAGATAGCCCGAGCTCTCCATGTCATGATTCGGTTTGCAAGCTTGAGACGCATATATAAGTGATATGGACGTCGGTGGTGGCCTGGCGTGAAGCTTTGCCTACGCACTCGTCGCACTCCACTTCTCGCATTCGCAGCATGATCATCGCGGGAGGCCTCTCCGTCTTCGACGATTCTGGTGAGCCTGTGGGCCACGACAGCAACTATACGACTATCGTCATCGTGCATGGGTTGGTCTGGCATGGAGGTCAGTCGCTGACTCTCGAAAGTTATTTGGGGTATCATTCACACCATGATCATATCATACCGCAGCCACTTTCGCGAAGCTGAGGCCAATAGCTCGTGCCCGTGGAGTGCGCGTGATCGCGCTCAACAGGCGCGACTACCCGGGAGCGAGGCCATACACCTCAGAGGAGCGGGCCCTGCTGCCTTCCATACCCCAAGACCTGAAGCCGCCGACAGCTGGCGATGGGACTCCGCTCGGTGCAGAAGGGTTGGACAGCTATGTGCGGCAACGCGCACACGAGCTGTATGAGTGCCTGCAGGCACTCGTCGAGGAGCGCAACATCCCACCCTTCTCACCTGCCTCTAAGAAGGGCGGAATCGTGCTGGTCGGGTGGTCACTCGGGTGCACATGGATTAGTGGTCTGCTCGCCCATGTCTCTTCCTTCCCTGCAGGACACGCTCGTTTGCAGGCCTATATACGACGGGTCATCTGGCAAGGTGCGCATTCTTGAAAATGCCTTATGGCAACTTGTACGTACCCAGTGCTGAGTACAACCACAGACCCTCTTTCACACATACTGGGCTACGCTCCTCCCGCGCGCGACCCTTACGTTCCGACGATGAACACCTCTCTAGAGCCTCAGGAAAGAATGCGGGTATTCACACAGTGGATCACCTCCTACTTCTCGCACAAGCATCTGGACTCCGAGGACGGACTGGAACGTCGCACGGCGCTGCGATACCCACCGAGTACTTTCGATGCGATGTCCGAGAACGATAGACGATCCACCATGCATGCCAGCCCTGGAGCTCCCGGCGGCTCGGATTGGGACCTGCTTTTTGGCTCCTGTCTGCTCGGGACCGTGCGCAATTTGCGCAAAGGTGCCCTCTACCCTCCTCGCGCCGACGCAAAGGCCGAGGACTGGGGTAACATCGAACTCCGTGTCCTCTGGGGAGATCGCTCCGTGTGGGCCGTTCCCTATGCTATCACCCATCTTCGTCAGGAGTTGGCCCACGCTGATAGAGAAGGACGAGACCGTCGGCCCGTCAGTGTAATGCGGTTGCGAGGAGCGAACCACTTTGTGAGTGCCCTCGGCCTTGATTTGGTGCGCGTCACTGACTGCTCGATACAGGCTCATTGGGGCCACCCGGAGCAGACTTTAGAAGCTTACCTTGCTGACAACTTGAAGGCCGATCGTGATATCTGAATGTAGGAGTGGCGGGCTGTGGTTGTACCTCTTATGTACGTTCCTAATAGTAAATCCCACAATGCTGTATGCATTGAATCGTTTATTTGGCCGTTCCAAGACACCCTCCGCCCGTGCACTGCGTTCGTCCATCTGCGTACGAGAGCCAATTATGCTCTTGGTTATTTGCAGTATTCCAGACTCGCTGCTCCGTCTTGGAGTTCTGAACTCCAGATAAGGCTCCCATTCTCTATACCTTCGACGCTCAGATTGGAGTCATAACATAGGTATCGTTACGACGGCACATAGGTATACACCGATACTGTTCCGTCGACATGTCCCAGTGCGATCCGGCCTCCCTCCTCATCCACTGCGACCCTGTTCCACTTTTCATCCGACTCCTGAACGTGGAAGACCGACACCTCAGGTCCCTGCTCAGAGGAATCCAGCGAGCCGCTCGGCTGACCGGTGTACGCCAACGTAGCCGGGTCGACCGGCCCCGGGCTCACCTGGTCGTCCTGCGGGCCCTCGCCAGGGCGCAAGCGAACCTTGGGGAGCGCGGTCTGGGTGAGAAGCTTCCCGGCGATGCGTTGTCCGTGGTCGCCTGCCTGCGAGGGCGTGTTGACATCTGTCGAGGCGTCGATCCAGAGCGCGGTGCCGTACCGTCCAAGGACGACGTCCGACGGGGTGAAGATGCGCACCGGGGAGGGTATGGAGTGGACCATGAACGGGCCCTCGGTAGACGAGAGGAGGTAAGGGAAGGTCTCGGGGCGAGCGAGGTCTACGGTGTCGGCGCGGTAGAGCGGGTTCGGTGCGAGAACAAAGTGGTGCAGGATGTTGACTGGCCAAGGGAACCAGGTGTCGAAGCGTGTCAAGACGTCGATGACGGGCGCTGTAGAATACGTGGAGGCACTCCTACTGCCAGGAAGGGTGGATACCGTCAGGTCTTGCGGAGAGCGGCGTGGCGCGGCGATGAGTGTGTCGATCCGCCACTGCCATTTGTAGGTCGCAACGGCCTCCAGCTCCGGAGGTTCGAAAGACGAGTCGGTATCCTGGGGATGGGACTGTCTTGCCGACGGGGGGATGTGATAGAGGAAGATATACTGCTTGCAGAAGCTCAGCACGAAATTGTCCACAATGACAACGTCAAGGGCTTGACGCTCCTGTACGTGGCTGGAAAGTCAGAAGGTGGCACTGGCCCTGGATCGTCGCATTACGTACGGCAGAGCGCAAAGTAGGGTCATTGAGCATCATTGGGGCCATAAGCGTGCATTGCAAGCGACCTGTGTCGACGTCCAGAATTCGGACGTGCTGCTCTGCATCCGTGACAACAAGTCGGGACCCATGAAGGCCAATGGTATTCCGAAACCCGACGAACTGCCTCAACAGCAGAAAACATGACCTATCCTGGGTACGAGGAACCTCGAGTCTATAAGCCTCGGTGATGCATCTGCAATAGAGACAAAATGAGATGATTGTAGATTGATGCAGGTGTTGAGCAGTATACAGACGGTAGTCCAAGGCCTTGGTGATTATGACCTTCTGATCTGCGAGTGATGGTCATGGTGACGTTGCTCTCTGCATCAGAGTTTATGGCGTAGCCGAGCAAGCCCGCAACCGCCACAGTATCCACGAATGTCGCCTGTGAGCCGCCCGCGACGTTCCACAGTTCGAAGGAATAGCGCTCATGAAAGGTGGTGTCACCATATAGTGTCAGCGTCAAGATGTGGTCAGGAATTCCAGGTATAAATGCGATTGCGAGGTTGCGAGCGTTCCGATGGTGATTGAGGAAGCGGAGCCTGACTGGCCTAATGTTGAGATGACTGTAAAAGTGCGGGGAGGGAGATAGCCAGTTCGACCAATAGCAAAGCGATCGCAGTGTTAGTTTCTCTAACTCCCTGGTCGATAAGCTAGGCACGTCGTATCGGTGGGCATTCGGCACGGGGAGACGGCTCCTTTGAATGTGCCTAGACAAGGCCATACGCCATACTGCACGTTCACGTGTTGCTGATTCAAGTGCTTTGCATGTCTATCCTCGAGAACAATGAGCACGGAAGCTTCATACTGATGCTTGCAACCGTTGCTCACCTGTCTGAGAGAGATGATATCGTGCGCATTCAGATGTCCGCAGAGGTCGAGGATGAGGTCCTCAGGTAGATCTGTTAGGAACATTGTATTGCTTGTGCTAGGTTCGACCCGAGTCAACCTCTCACAGGCCTAGGGCAGTGCAAGCTCTCGCACAATCGTGTGCACTGTGCAGACCCGGTTACTATGTCAAATCTCAGCCTCCGGAGCCATTGAGTGGTGAGAAATGGTTGATATCTCACAGACAGCAATTCAAACTTGGTGCTGGGGACTTGCGCAAGGACGAATGGCAGCCTGCTTGAAAGCTCGCCGAGAGCAAACGTCCGAGTCCCCTCCTTGGAATTGAATCCGAGCTCGGGCGGCCCTCAAGGCGGAGTAATGCGGAAGGAGGATTCAGCCAAACATGTGAACGCGCGTGCTTGGCTTATGGACAAGGCGATATGGCCGAGCGGTCTAAGGCGCTAGAATCAGGAGCTTCTTGAGTTCTATCTAGTCCGAAAGGGCGTGGGTTCGAATCCCACTGTCGTCATTCTCTTTTTGCACCCTCACAGGGTGGACTCTAGGGCAGGTCGTTTCGCGTCCAAGGGACGCGTTGTGGCTGAACGCATCCTCTCAGACTTGCGCTTACCTGCTATCTCTCCTTTCCATCTACCCAAGTACTTCTGACCTTGCTTGCCATGGCTGCTGCACCTCCCACCATAATGCTTGCTTCGTCTGATACCCCCTTGACCTCCGCAACTCCTCACTTGATGCCCTTCCAAATCGCATACACCGGTCCCGCACCTATCTCTACCTACTTCCGCGTCCAAACCGCGCCTGAGCCAACATTTGGACGCGAAACGAAGACGACTGCCACTGTTGTCGTAGTGGACGGGTCTCAAATATCTTCCGATTCACAGTCCACACTCGTCGCAGAGCCCCAGGAGGAGTCGAGCCGCGCCGCCATGGAACCCTCTGCCTCATCTTCGACCGTGATCGATGCGAATGTGCAGGATTTGAACGGCTCCTCCGAATGCCCTCCTTCATCTAGAGCTCGCTACTATACTGCGGCGTTCCGAGGCAGGTCGATGCACGGGCTCCGGATCGATCTACCCGAAGGCTATTCGGGGGTCGTCCTGCGCGCACCAGATAGAACCGGCGCAAACAGTTCTGCGACATCCTCGCGCGTAGAGGAAGAACGTGGGCGGAGATCGCGTGCGAAAGCCAAGCCTGCAGGAAGAGCGACCCGACGGGGAAAGCGCGCCGAAGAAGCTGTGGAGGACACGGAGGAAGAAGTGCTTGAAACGAGCGCGGCACAGGTTCACGGAGAAGGCCCGACTCGTATACTGAGCCCGGCGGCGCAGTTCTCCTCGTTTGTGCTGTGGCATCCTGACATTCCCGTGGACGAAGGTCGGGACGAATACGTTCGTTCGCTCACCGAGTGGACCAAACTCGCAGTCGAGGTATGTTGGTCAGATCAACTTGTGCGGTTCGTCTGATGCGAGACCGTTCAGATACATCGGATCGAAGACTGCTAGAATCAGCTGTCGGCTACATGGATTGTATGATATAAATGTTGTGGCATATTGGAGACTCTCGTGCCCTGAGCGTGTCTCAGACGAAACCTCCCTGCAAGACTTACAGCGCGCTAGGGTCTCAAGCGCGCCGCCCATCTGCTTCCTTACTAACCTGACTGCAGCCGTATTTGCGTATAGACGCATTGGCGAAGAGCACCCTTAACCGCAATGTCCTCGAAGCTCGCGCATCTTATGCCAGTGGTCTGCCAGTGGTGGATGTGGATGCATTGCCGTCTACTGTAGCAGTGATCTGACCCCCTACAGTGCTGTGTTCAATGGCTGCTAGATATCAAATATCTTAGAAGGCTGTGCATACAGTCTTAACCGGCGCAAGCTGTGGTACGCGATCAGTGCTCACTGGTAAGTAACGAGATTCGGACCGTACTGTTGTGCTCTCCTATGATCGAACTTGTGCCGACCACCACGAGGCGGTACTGCCCGTTGTGCGGCATATGGATGGCCGCCCTCTACATCGCGTACCGCTAGTACTTATGCCTGCGGTCTGATACGATGGGCTGTCCTCTCTTTCCCCCTTCCTCTTCATCTCCTTAGAGGGCGCACTCCGTCACGAAGCTTTTTATACCGTCCTCTCCGCTTGCTTTCTCCTTAACTTCGCTGCAGCTACCACGACTAATACTCTCTGAACCTCTGCTGATCTGTAAGTTTTGCCCGCGAGATCAGGCTCAGTTTCCTTGCTGAGAAACTCCCTTGTATTTGAAGTTGAACTATCCCGCGCACAATGTACGGCCTACACGCTTTGATGAAGAGCATGTTCGCTGGGCAGGGCCTGGTCGCCGCTGCTGCAGCTCCGACCCCCATAGGAGGCGTCACACCCACCGCTCCCGGTCCCAACGACGTCTTCCGGGAAGGGGGCCAGTGCTCATTTTCGTGGACGCCCGACCCCTCCGGGACCTGGAAGCAAACCGACGTCGAGCTCATGACGGGCGATAATTTCAACATGGTGTTCCTCACGAGTGAGTGCGATGCTTCGTTGTTAAAGCGGTCAGGACTCACGCCATGTGCCCGGACGATCAGCCGTTGCGTCGTTCGACGGCACAGATCCCACATTGACAACGATGAACTTCCCTTGTCCGGATGTGAGTGCTCTAGACACGCTCCGTTCTGCTTCGGAGCTGAGCAGCGCTTCGCCGTGCAGGTCGAGCCGAACTCCGCGATCTACTTCTACCAGTTCTCCTCGCCAGCGGCGCCCACCGCGTTGACCTGGACGACGCGCTTCGCAATCGCGGACGCGCAGGGGAAGACTACTCCTCCCGAAAACACGACTCAGCCCAATGGGCAGCAGATCCCTTGGGGCACGGGCAAGCTCGCGGACCCATCCAAGGCTGTGCCCGAGCCGGGATACCTCCTGCCAGGCGGTGCATCCGCGTCCGCATCCGCATCAGCGAGCGCGAGCACCACGGATAGCGCGTCGTCGACCGCGGCAGGCTCCAGCAGCGCGTCCAGTTCGGGAAGCGCGTCCAGCACCACGAGTGACTCCAGTTCATCGAGCTCGGATTCCGCGACAACGACGGCCAGTGCTTCACAGTCTAGCTCGACCGGCACGCCGTCGCGCATCGTCACTGTCATCCGGACTGCCAGCTCTGGACAGATCGCACCAACAGACGGCTCCGGATCCAACGACAGCAGCGGGAATGGTGGCAGCGGGAGCAATGGGGCGTTTGCGGTGCGGACGAGCTGGGGCTCGGCTGTGCTCGCATTAGGCGTGACGGCGGCCGTGTTTGTGGTCGCGTCATGAGCGATGCGACGAGGGGTTGAGAGCAGCATGGTACTAGAGGCTGAAGGACATTATGATGGACATTTTGGCTCGGACGTTCTCATAGTTCTGTTCCAGCGATGGTCCTGACAGGCTCGCACTGGATTCTCGGCTCACCACGCAGGGATCTGACCCCGGAAGATCACGAAGGAAACGAATGATCCATGCGGTGAAGGACGAAGGTTCCATTAATATTGAGCGACCAAGTGTGACGCATCGTGTTGTAGTTGCAGATGAACGGTCTGGAGTAGCGGACCGGTTGCATAGGACCAGGAACCCACTACTATCAGCACCACTGGGGGTCATGATCAAGCCTGGAAGCTCAGTTGGCGCCTCCGCCAGACATACCAGTGCACGGATATCAGCAGGCAGGACGACCCAAATGTCGTCCTCCTTACAGATACGGGTTTCCCAGTTCAATCGCGCTCGCGCGTAGCACTCGCAGTTCGAGTCGCTGAAGCCCACGAATCTAGAGCGTTCGAGGGCAGGTCCAACTCGGAGTCGTTCAACGACAACGATACGCGCCTGCAAGCCACCACGGCGCGTGACCTTAGGGTATAGGACATCCGTCAAGGAATGTAGCCTCTGTCAAAAGCAGCCGTTGGTCGCGTACTTCGAGAATCCAAAGCACATCTCTGAGTCCTGACTGGTCATACCTTCAATGAGGGTTCATCAATCATTATTGAGATAAGTACGTGGGCGTTAATTCCAACATTTGTACAATCACGCACTGCAGAGTAGCAGGAAGCCCGGACGCATGCGGCGTGTCGCGGTTAAGGGACAATCGCCCGACACCTACTAGTGCGGGGAAACACCCTTCGGTGGCTCTCGCGTGCTTCCAACCATCGTTACGATGCGTTACGGTACTCACCAGAACCAATTCGGCGGAATCCGCTGGGATTGCACGATGTTCGAAAGTCTCGGCTAGTGACAATTTCTGTGTCATCGCGGCCGGTGGTTGGACGCGCAGAAGTACTGTGAGTGGCGTCGTAAGCACCGTGCAACTGGGACTACCGGTTGACCTTTCTTTTTCGTGTCCACCGTGTCATTGATCAGCTGAACATCATTCCGAGTGGCGCATCCGCTCGCCGGGCTGCCAAACCCACGACCTTCAAATAACCTAAGACCAACTCACAGCGTGTCCCCTCAGCAGATTCTCAATGGCGCAGTGGGGTGATTGGGGTGGGCTGCGCTCACGTCAACGGTCGGACAGTAGCGCAGGTTTGACAAGGACGAACGTCCCTCGCAGTCCAATCAATGTGCGCGCAACTTGGCAATAGAACGTTAGAAGAGCGGCGTGTCGGCAGCGAGCATGAGGTAGGCCCGCTGACTCGCTGGCGGGACGCTGCTCCCGCTCTTCGCGCCAAGATTTTGGAAAGCATTGCCAGTATGTCGAACAACAGGAGGCTGAGGCTCAATTTGCTCAAAATGGTTAGCAGTAGTAATGTATAGCAATGCTGGCCGTACCGAAGGCGAGCACATGCTATCAATCGGGTGCGGTCCGTCTACCGTTTGCGCAAGAAATGAGACTCCAATTTGATCGCAGGATGGTATCCTCCCTACCCCTAGGCAATGTTCGTTGAAGTGACTTTGGCTGGTTCGGATACTGTGAAAACAACGAATCAATTTCAAATTGTCCGGACAAGAAATCGTGGACTGTGAATGCATGAACGACCAACCTGAACAGCTGCATTGAGGTGTGACGTGGTTCGTGAAATGTACGTATACATAGTGCGTGTCCGCTAGGTGCCGAGATACATGTCGAATAGTCTCCATGATGGACATCCGCAACGTCAGACGGTGGATATCTTCGGTGTCAACGCACAGGCCATCTGGAAAAACCCCCCGCAGGAAATCTGACAAAATCTGACAGAATCTATGGGATTCCAGTGGTTTTCGGCGGTTTCGGAATGACCACCTGCAGAATCTCATAGATTCAATTATAATTTGACATATTCCTTGCACTTCCGGCGGTTCGACGGACACCTACGCGACGGAATGTCTGCTGGGAAGCGCAGTGTGTGCAGCTCTGCAATGCTACATATCGCAACCATGGACATACGCTCTGATTGCGGCATTCGGCTCTCAAGTATCCCCCGTTTCTGTCTTACCATGAACTTTGCAAGTAGTTGGTATTGTTCTACGCATGTACACTTCTATCTATTCCCTCATCCAGTGTCGTTACACTTCCGTAGGATA